CTCAATGTCTTTCCACAGAAAAGAGAGTGTGTTCTCTAAAGAAAATTCTCTCTCTCTCTCTCTCTCTCTCTCTCTCTCTCTCTCTCTCTCTCTCTCTGTGTTAGGAGAAATTGATGCTTCAGTTTTTCTGAAGCCGGGCCCATGGAAACAGTACTGTGAATTAGTCTGGTTGTGGTATGTTGGAAACTGGTGACTAAATATTTCTATGACTTTTGTTGGGGGAATGCAACTGGTCTGCATCAAACGCTGCAAGTGGCTAAAGTGATTCCTGTAGTGTTTCCTGCTCTCTCAACATATTTCTGAGCACTGATGATGTAGATTGAAGTGCTGTTGTGTGTCAGGTCTTCCTACCACTTGCTACATAAGGCCTTTCTTCCAGGAGTTAGTTGAATCACTGCTAAGCAATCTTATTTTTCTTCTATTTGCTAAATCTAACAGAGCCCCAGTATGCAAAAGCTTTCATTTGAAAATGAGTTCTTAAGATACTGGTCTAGAGGGACCATCAAACATTCTGCATTGGCCTTTGATTTTTCTTTAAGCAAAATACTTGTTTTTAAGAGTAAGAATTCCGTGTTGATAATTTTATAAATACATTAAATATGATTCTTTGGAGGATTCCATCACGGTGGCTATTTAGAAAGTGAATAGTCCGAATATATGTGTCTGTTGGCAAAAATGGCAGAGACTTTGCATGTTATGGGCTAAGTAAACGCTCATTATTTGGAGTTTTTTTTTTTCACATAGACTGTGAGAACTGGAAAGGATCAGATCACATAATACAACCCCTGATGTGCAGACTGGAACAACCACAGGAGAGCCAGAACGTGACTGACTGACTTAAGGTCACAGAAGGAAAGTTGCTGAGGGTCAGCAATGCATTTAATCTCGAAGTCTACCAGGAGCACACACCATGGTTATAACAATTGAGACCTAAGACTAGTTCAGAATGGAAGAATAACAGGAAAAGGACTGGGGTAGATAACAGGAGACTGAGGAAGGAATGAAGGAAAGAAAGAAAGATGGGTACAAAAGGGAAGGGACTATGCAGAGGCACCATTCCAAACCAGTACAGCCTTTGGCTGCATAGTCTTTAGCATGAGAGCTTAAAAATAGCTTTGAGTAATTAGAACAGTCAGGGAAGAACATTTTTCTGACTTTTAAAATGTTTTAAATGAGATATAAGTCATAATAGCATTCAAGTCCCACGTTTAGGTCTACATTTCAGTGATACAGAGTTGTTCCTCCATTGCCACAATTTTAGAACATTTCATGACCCCCTCTCTTTTTAATAGGCAAAGAAGGGCATGCATTGGGAGGGTGATAGGTTTAGGACAGTTGCTTCATAATGTAGCTCCCTGGACAAGGAGGGACTGGATGGCAACATCAAAATGTCCCTACCTTGAGATTCTTTATTGTGTATCTGGCTTGTTTAAAGTGGATTAATAGAAATTTGGCTTGTTTAAGGTGGATTAATAGAAAGAGGTGGGTCTTTCTGTTTGAGCTTTATATTGTGCCTAGCATGGGTGCTTTACAAGTGTTTTCATGATGAAGCTTTGAAAACGTTAAAATAGAAATAGAAGTGCTAAATGACAAGGTACCACAGTGAGAGATGCTGTTTAATAGTTGCTCTTCTGATTGCTCCAAACTGCTGTGGACACAGCAATCCTACCTATTAGCTAAAAAAATAGCATTGAAATTGGAAAATTCAAACAACTGGCTCTTGGCAAAGGCTTTCTTCCAAACTATTGTAAAATGAATAATATTTTTCAGTGACTTATGGAATTGTTTCACCAAGGCAAGGGTGAGCTCGGCATTATAACATTTTGCGATCTTCTACACTTTCTCCCTAGTTACTGGACTTTAGCCTCTTATAAAAACCTAGTGTTTTTCTGGAAAGACTTTTTGTTCTTAGAGCAGAAACCTGATCTCCAAATCAGGAAGTGATCCAGAAATTGGCCACTTAATGTAGCTGCACTGGGGTGGGGGGTGGGGATTGATCCTTGAATAGTCTTTTCTACTGGAATGTAAATCCAGACAGGGTAGGAGTAGCTGAGTTGAGAGAATGGGTTTTTCTCTAAGGTGTTGAATGGGTTCACCTCAGAACGCTTCACATATGGCCTGGAAGGGCTGGGGATCAGTGTTGACAATAACTTGAAAGCATCAAAGGGATATTTTCCTTACAATGTTTAAGTGACCATCCTATCTCCCCGACTTTGAAAAGGAAGGGTGTAAATATTATTACCCTATCACCATGATCTCTCATGAGAGAGGAAAGGCAAAGATCTGAAACTCCAACTGTATTGCTAAAAGAAAGCAAAGGCAAGGAAGAAGATAGATTCTCAATAGTGAAAAGGTGAAAAGAACCTAAACGTTTAGCAACCCAACAATGGATAAACAGAATATGTTATAATCAAGGACTGTAATACTGTTATTCTACTGTAGACGAGAATGCAGCCACAACATGAATGAACCTTGAAAACATTACCTAAGTAAATGAAGCCAGGTATGCTGGGTGTGGTGGTGCACACCTTTAGTCCCAGCACTCAGGAAGCAGAGGCAGATGGATTTCTGTGAGTTTTAGGACAGCCTGGTCTACATAATTAGTTCCAGGCCAGCTAGACTAGATAGTGAGGCTTTGTCCCCCAAAAGAAGCCAGGCCCAAAAGGCCATGTATTGCATGATTTCATTTACTGGCCATAGGGGAAAATTTATGGAAGCAAAAAGAAGATGCCTAGGGCTATGGGAAGGGAGGAGTTGGGAGGCATTTTCTCTATCCTTCTCCTTTTACTACACAAAGAGAGACAGGTATAGGGTGATAGATTTAAAGCAGTTGCTTCCTAATGGACAAGTAGTGGCTCCATGGCATGAAGTCTGGGCTTGGCATGTAGCTTGTTGAATTGCATCCCCCCCCCTTTTCTTTTAATGTGTATGCTTGTATTGCCTGCATGTAGGTAAGCGCACCCGTGTCGTGCAATGCCCACGGAAGTCAGAAGAGA